CTGGAGCGATAGCACAATGGGTAGGGCGTTTGCTTTGTACACGGCCGACCCGGGTTCAATTCCCAGCATCCCATAGGGTCCCCTGAGCACCGCCAGGAGTAATTCCCGAGTGCAGGAGCCAGGAGTAACCTCTATGCATCACCGCGTGTGACCCCCCACCCAAGAAAAAAGTTCTGACTCCCAGCATGGGGAAAGGGTGAGTCCAGAGCCCACTCTCTCTTCCAGCCTCACCCCTCACCAATGGCTTCATGGATGAGTTTTCCCACCTCTGGATCACTGTTAACTGGCTTCTTCCCCCTGGGAGGCCTTCCCCAGTCACCCTGTGACACCATACACCTCATCTCCTCTGACCCTCAAGTCACAGCTCAAGTACCTGGAGGGCTCGGCTTCTGTGTCAGGTTGTGTGCTTGCTTGTGTCAGGGGGTGACACAACATTATCCCCAACATTGTATGACTTCCTTCCCGAGACCCCTCCAAGCATTGCTAAGAGTGGACCCCAGAACTGCCAATCGCTCAAAATATCACCACCCTCCACCACCAAATCACCTCTGACCTTGGAAGCAGTGAGGTGACTGGGGGACATTTCCCGGGTCAGTCCTCTCAGCCTCTTAGCTGTGGTGGTGATCAGGACAGGAGACAGGGCCCAGCTCTGCTCTAGGGGGCTAGGGGGCTGTCATGGAGCAAAGGGAGGCCAGGGCTGAACCTCGGCCTCTCCCCAGCCCCCCTCTGCACTCTCTTCCTTCTCTGTCTCTCTTCATCCTTCCCCTCCCCTCCCCTCTTCCCCATCCCTTCCCTCTCCCTCGTTCTCTTCTCTTCTTTTCATTTGGGGGTGGGGTGGGCACTCCCTGCAGCACCCAGGGCTTATTCCTGGCTCTGAACTCAGGGACCACTCTGGGGACCATACGGTGTACCCACAGGCACCCTATCTGCTGTACTATCTCTTCAACAACTCTCTCTCCCTCGTTTGTTTGATTTTTGGACCACACCCAGCGATACTCAGAGATGACTCATGACTCTACATTCAAGAATCACTCCTGGTGGTGCTTAGGGGACCCTATGGGATGTTGAGGATCAAACCAGGGTTGGCCACGTGCAAGGCAAACACGCTACCTGCTGTACTATCGCTCCAGCCCTTCCCTCCCACGTCTCGTCTTCCTCCCTTCCTCCCTTCCTCCCTTCCTCGCTCTTAGTCCCTCCCTGGAGTTCTCTCCCCCCCTCTTCCCCCCCCCATCCCCGCACTTCTATAAGGCTAGTTTGGGCTTCCTTCCAACACAGTGACCTCATTATAACTGGCCATCCTACACGGCACTTCAGGGTTCCAGGAAACTGCCCAGGACAGAAGCTGTAGGACCCTCCTGCCCTGTGCCATCGACCGGAGCGGCTCTGTGCAGCTCACCCTCAGGGGCAGAGCCCGGGAGCTTCATTTCTCGGGGACTCCAGGCCATCTCCCACAGGCCAGAGACGCGCTTTGGCAGTCGGACATCTTCTTCATTTCTTTGTTTACATGGGTGACTTTCTGATTGAGCAAACTCCAGGGGTACAAATAAACCAGATCCTCCCTCATCCTTTATAGCGTCAAAATGAAGGATGTTCGTTCTCCGATTCCTGCCTTAATAGCGTCTTGGGCTGATCTACTAATGCTGCTGTCACTGTAATTTATTAACGCTCCAGTTCCCTCGAGGCTGCTCAGACTCACCCCGTTTCCTCCTCCAGGCAGGGCCTGGATTTGACCCCACAGGGCGGAGGAGATGGTCTACCCCACCGCCCCACTTCCTTCTCGAAGGAGAGATTGGGGGGAAGGTTCCTTCAACCTTCATCTCTGACCCCACATGGCCATCTGGCCGCCCTTGCCACACCCCAGGGTCCCTGCTTCCTCCCCGCTCCCCCTTTTATAATTTTTTAGCCATACCTGGCAATGCTCAGGGCTTATTCCTGGCTCTGTGCATGAGGATCGCTCCAAGCAGGGCTGCTAGGGACGAAACCAGGGTCAGCCACATGCCAGGCGAACACCCTACCCACTGTACCATTGTTCAGGCCCAAGTCCCCTGCTTTCTCTGTGACCTCCATACCCACAGGCAGGCAGGGGGCTTACCCCTTCACCCCCACAATGAGGTCTGCTCACCTGCCCACCCTCCAACCAGGAGAAGGGTCATGCATGTGGCTACTCACCTTCCACCGTGTCCCGTGACGGGTGCCAACTTCCTGCTGGACCCCCGGTGTCCTGTCTGTCGCCCAGCCCAGTTCCCCTCAGAGGGCGCCCAGCTCCCTCTGGGGGGCATGGGGAGATGGACCCAGCCAGCGGTCTAGTCTGTTCCTACCCTGCTGGTGGCTGAGTTCAGGCTCTGGGGCGGGGGTGGTGCTTAGGCCTCACACACTGCCTTGAGTGCCAGCCGCGGGTGTCCACCCCAATGCCGTCTGCTTTGTTTGAGAGCGTGGCTGTCCTAGGACCCCTTTGTTCTCCACTCTGGGTCCTGAGACCCATTTGGGCAACCACAAAGTCCCCACATGAGGGTGGTCTGTGCCCACAAACTAAGGCCCCAGGCCTTCGGTGCCAGGACCCCCCCGGACCCTGACGTCCAACAGGCCCTGATGGCACTGCACATGACAGACCACAGAGGCTGCTGGGGTGTGGTCTGGGGACCGTGGGCTGCTGGCCAGCGGGGCACTGGCCGCTGTGGCCTGGCCTGTGAGGCAGGGAGTGGAGCTGGCGTGCGAGGTGCCCCAGCATCCCAGGGTTGATGGGGTGCATGTCTCGGCCGGAAGCAGCCCCGTGTCCTGGGGCCAGGGCAGGCTCGCAGGGCTGTGGCCCAAGTGGAAAGCCAGAAGGGAGTTCCTTCTGCAGCGTGTCCCCCGGGCAGGCCCACACCCCCTCTGTGATCCCCAGCCAGGAGCACATTCTGACCAGAGCCGTCTTCCAGGGGGGCCCGGGCCTGGGTGAGCAGACGGCCAAAGGCAGGGCCACCCCGCCTCACCACACCCCACTGGACCCATCCTGGCTTCCTGCCAAGGCCCGGGGCGGCTCCTTCCCCAGTCACGCTGGGTTTATCCTGGGCAGCCTCAAGTGAGAGCGGGGAGCTGCCCTCTTGGGAGTCACACACACACTCATACATGTACCCATGTGTGCGCACACACACAGACATACAGGCACACACACAGACATACAGACTTACACTCAAAGACGCACACACACACACACACAGAGACTCATATACACACACATTCTCACACTCACACACACTCAAAGACTCAGACACACATATTACACTGGTACACATACACTGACACAATACACTCAGACTCATACACACATACTCCTAGTGACACACACACAAATACACACAGACTCACAGATACAGACTCAGGCTGGAGTGATAGCACAGCGGGTAGGGCGTTTGCCTTGCACGCGGCCAACCCGGGTTCGATTCCCAGCATCCCATATGGTCCCCCAAGCACCGCCAAGAGTAATTCCTGAGTGCAGAACCAGGAGTAACCCCTGTGCATCGCCGGGTGTGACCCAAAAAGCAAAAACAAACAAACAAAAAAACAAAAAAAAACAGATACACAGACTCACAGAGACAGTCACACAGGCTCATACTCTCGCACACAAATACACTCTTGCAATGCACAGGGGTTACTCTTGGCTCTGCACTCAGGAATTACTCCTGGCAGTGCTCAGGGGACCCTATGGAATGCTGGGAATTGAACCCGGGTCAGCTGCGTGGAAGGCAAACGCCCTCTCCACTGTGCTATCGCCCCAGCCCCACAAATATACTCTTATACACTCATACACAGACTCACAGACACACACAAATACACACCCATACCCTCACACACACAGAGACTCACACTGATAGACACACAAAGACTCCCTCCTACACTCACACACACAGACGCACACTCTCACACACGAGCATCCCTGAGGAGCAGAAGCGATGGCATCTGACGGCAGGAAGATTCTCCTTTGGCTTCGGGGCATTCCGTGGGTCTGGAGATGTCACAGGAGCAGGGGACTTGTTGCTACCAGCAGCCTGAGGCCGTCCCAGCTCTGTCCTTGCCCTGGAAGCAGGAGCCTTGAGCAAAAATGCTCCCCCTTGCCAGCTGCCTCTTGAGTTGGAGGGTGTCCAGGGTGGCTGACCCCGGACGCCCCAACCTTAGGGCCATGGCTACACCTTGGAGCCGCCGCATTAGGGGAGTTGTGGGTCTCAGGATTTTGTCTGTCAATTTTGTCTATCGGGAGCAGACGGGAGGGGGGCTGGAGCAATAGCACAGTGGGGAGGGCGTTTGCCTTGCACGCAGCCGACCCGGGTTTGATTCCCAGCATCCCATATGGTCCCTCGAGCACTGCCAGGACCAATTCCTGAGTGCAGAGCCAGGAGTAACCCCTATGCATTGCTGGGTGTGATCCAAACAGAAAAAAAATAAATAAATAAAAAGGAGCAGACGGGAGGCACCCCGCAGGACACACGGGCTCACAGGCAGACCGGCTTACAGACTAGAATACTTTATTCAAGAGAATCTGGCTCGGCCGTCCCCGCCCCGTGGGGGCTCTCTCCTGGCCCACAAGGGCCCCCTCTTCGTCCGCGTCCCTGAGAGGGCAGGCGGGGACACTTCGGCCGCAGAGAACCGCGGCAAGCGGTGAGGGGTGCCGGGGGTGGGGGGGATGAGGCAGGACCGGCAGCAGGCCCTGGGTAACCACAGTTCCTCGGAGCTGAACATTCCGCTGTCCAGGGCGCGGCGCTGCTGCCAGGAGCGGGTGGTGGCCGAATGGGCGCCTGTCTGCCCTTCTCTGCAGCAGGGCCAAAGGAGTAGATGCCGCCGCTGCCTCCTCCATCCATCCCCTCGGCCAGGAGCACAACCAGGGCTGCCTGTGTCGACAGAGCCCGGGATGCCCCTGTCCCCCCACCAAAGCAGGCAGGCGGAGGAAGGGTCCCCCTCTCCTGGCCTCCAGTTCCCCAGAGACCCCCAACAAGGGGGTGGGGGTCTGGTTTGCCCCTCAACCCGCCACATGTCCGGCTTCTTGCCAAGCCGCAGGGCGCGCATGTCGGCGGCCGCCTTCGCCTTCTTCTCTCTCGTTGTGTGTAAGGCACTGGATTCCTGAGGGTCCTGGCCCTCCCTGGCCTCCCGGGAGGAGGAGTCAGTCAGCAGGGATACGATTGGCTAATAAATAGAGACAGGTGGCGGCAGGGAGGTAACTGAGTGTGACGGTAATAAATACTCGAGCCGGGGCGGGGTCTCCTCCAGGGCCTGGTTACCTCCCAGGAACTGTGTAGCTACACCTGAAGATCAAAGAGAGGGGAGGAGGGTGGTCAGTACATGGTGGGGGGGGCCGGGTCCCTCCGGCAGGAGGGGGGCAAACCCGAAAAGGAAAACTTGGGTGGGGGGGAGACGGCAGCCCTCCCTCCCGACCTCTTTGCAGCAAGGCAGTGAGAAGACATGTGCGCCCCTCCGGCCCCTCCACCGAGCACCCCCAGGGGCCCGGCCCTGCTCGAGGCTCACTCCTGGCACCTGGCAACAGTATCCCTGAGGAAGGCCCTGCACTTAACCTCCTTGTGTTCTTAAAAACTACAGCGGTGGCAGCTCACAGGGGTTCAGAAACTTGCTCCGGGCCATGCAGCTAGCTAGGGACACACCTAGCTTTGTCTTTTCAATTTTTCTTGGGGGGGGGGGGATGGTAGAAGGAAGCTTTGCTGCAGTGCTCAGGGACCACCTGGGGACCATGCAGTGCTGGGGATTGTACCCGGTGTCCTCACATGCAAAGCATCTCTGCGGCCCCCAGGGCGGGCTTTGAACCAAGGCTGGCTCCAATGCAATGACAGCTCTGGGTACTCTGGAAAATAGCAGTTTTCCAGCGGGGCACAGAACACATGAGTCTACAGGATGGTGAGGTGGATGGGAGTACTGATGGCTTGGGGGGGAGGGGCCCACAATGGTCAGTGCTCAGGACCTCTGCACTTGGGGATGACTCCTGGCAGTCTCAAGGACCAGATGGGATACCGAGGATCAAGGCAAGCGCCCTACCTGCTGTCCTCGTACCCCAGTCAGCGAGTACTGGTGGCCTTAAAGGAGCCTGTCTTCAGCCCCCATATGTATGCTCTCCGAAAATTTTGTAAAGTCAGCTTCCCCTAAGTTCCACACAGTTCCTTTCTCAGATCGTTAGCAAGGAAGATCCGACCCATCGCCAATCTCCAGGGCTTCAGGGCTTCGTCTCCAAGTAAATACGGTATTGGGGGAGGGGCATGGAACCAAAGAACTGGGGAGCTACTGGCACTGGGAGGTGAGAAAAAAGATGCGGCACATGACTTGGCAGTGCTCAGCTTTGTGTCAACAAAACAGAAGTGCTCAGTGGCAACATTAGTGAGTAATCCAGCAGAGGTAACTGTTACTGGCCCGCTGTTCCCAGGAAACCCCATGGTCATGCTATGGGATTAGGGGACACTTAATCCCATGATGGGAACATGGTTTTTTTCAGCCTTCCAGTAGGGGAAAAAAATGACAAGCAGGGACTGAGGCGACAGTACAGAGGTTAAGGTGCTTGCCTTGCATGCAATCAGCCCAGCTCGGGCGCCGGGACCACATATGGTGCCCTGAGCACAGAGTAAGGAGTAGGTCCCGAGCACTGCTGGGCGTGGTCCCCAAACAAAAACAAAAACAAAGGCCTGGAATGCATGTTGTCTCCTGCCTCCGTGCGACAGGAGGCAAGCGGTGGGTGCTGGATTCGGTGACTGAAAAGCCTGTAGAGCTAATGTGCTCTGGCAAGCGTGACCGTACATTTCTGCTCCATCTTGATAACAGGGTGTCTCTGTGATGCTGGTCAGGTGGCACTGCTAGAAGTTATTATGATCATTCACCCCAGCAGAAAATGGAATTCAGAGTTTTATCTTACAGGAAATTTGGCATATTTCAAACGGAGACACCACTGTTGGGGGTAGATGAATGGCAAGTGACAAGTATTAAAAGATATTTGATACCTAAACATTCTTACTCTGTGTGTGTGTGTGTGTGTGTGTGTGTGTGTGTAATGATTCAGGCTGAAATTTCCTGAGGGAAGTGAAATGGAGATGCAAGTTGGAAGCAGGAAGAGCTCCTGTTTTATCTGTTGTATATCTACTGTATCTATTGTCACTAAAGATCTAACGTGTCTATGAAAGGACAATCCTCTGATGCCAGCATGTGATCATGTCAGCCCATAGTTATGTTGATCATATTTTAAGAAGTTGATGAGGGGCTGGAGAGATACACAGCAGGTTGGGTGTTTGCCTTGCACGCGGCTGGCCCAGGTTCTATTGCCAGCATCCCATATGGTCCCATGAGCACCGCCGGGAGTAATTCCTGAGTGCAGAGCCAGGAGTTACCCCTGTGCATCATTGCCAGGTGTGAAGCAAAAAGGAAAAAAAAAAAAAACAGTTGCTGAGAATGAGTTTATTCTCTAGGATAATGTAAGGCTTCCTGGTAAAGTTTTTCAGTATACTAGAAAGATACTGTAAATACTATAGATACTGTAGATGCTACACTATATGGATGAGCCATGTAGCTTTATGTAACAATATTGATATTTATAAACAGAGGCTGAGCACAGGCTTTGCAAGCAGGAAGCCAAGGTTCAATCCCCAGCATCGGACCCTCTGGGAATGGTTCTTGAGCACCTGGGGCTGGTCATAACCCTGAGCACTGCTGAGTGTGCCCCCCTCCCCCAATAAAAAAAGGCCTGAAATGAACTAGTTCACCACTTTTTCTTTTTTTTTTTTCAGGCCACACTGGTGGTTCTCAGGGTCAGGCGCATGGCCCTCCTCTACACTCTAGCATGGGGGGCTGGGAGGTGTGCCCTATCGACTCAGGTCACAGCCAGGACAAGAACTAAGGTCCCCTCACGCTACCTGAACCCTGGAATGTCTAAGGGTGGCAGTACCCTATCCTGCACCCCGAGTTGGCCCTGGCCTTGCTATTCCCTCCCCCGGCCACTGGCCCCTGCTGGCCCAGCCTCCTTGCCACCCTGGGCCCCCACACTCCATGCACTCACTGGTGGCAGTCTGTGGGTTTCTGCTTCTCTCTCTTCCTCTTCCCCCTGACCTTGGGTCTCCTCCTGCAATAAGCCAAAAGCGTCAGGGCCGAGTGGTAGGGGCCCCATGCGAGGACGGGGCCTGGCAGGCCCAAGAAGAGCCTGCAGTCCCAGCCGGCTCACTTACCTTTCTGGCTTCTTCTTCTCCACCAGAGGCCTGGAGAGACAGAGAGGGGCAAGGGAGAATCAGGGCAGCCCGATGGGGGGCGGTGGGGTGGGGGTGCAGCTCCCGGCCAGTGCCAGCTGCTCTTCCTGCAGTTGACGCCAGGGCCACTAGGGGGTAGCATGGAGCTAGTGAGGGAGGCATGGCCCCAGGCTTCGGGAGTTGGGTGTCCCCCCCAGGCTCTGGGGACCCTCTAAGAAAGGTACAGAAGCTCTCTTCGGAGCCCTCTCTGCACGCCTCTGCCTTTTGGCATCCAGGGTAGGGCTAGTGTCTCTGCTGCCTTTGCTCTGCTTCCCTTTTGCCTCGGAGGCACTTGGGACATTTTCAGGCGGATGGGAGCGAGGGGCCAGGCCAGGACCTGGAGGAGGGGTCCTGCCATCTGGATCTGCCTGTGGGGCCTATGTGACGCTGCAGAGCCATGCCCTGCGTCACCAGGTTGTCTGGTGCTGCCTGCAGGGCTGTGGCAGCTGTCCCAGAAGCAGGAAGTAAAGTGTGAGCCTCAGTTGGTCCAGGATCGGTGTGGCAACCCTTGGCTTCCGGAGGCTGGCCGTCCTCCTGGGACTGCCTGTCAGGCTCCAACATCGTGTGCAAAACAGAGATGCTTTCTGAGTCTCGGTCTCTGTCTGCCAGCCCCAGCAGAGGGACCGTGAGGGCAAAGGCTGTGAAGGTCCCTGTCTGGGCCGGTGCTTGGGGGGGCGGGGCGGGAGGGTGGATAATGAATAAACTACTCTTGGGATATATTTTTTTTTGGTTTTGGGCCACACCTGGCGGTGCTCAGGGTTCACGCCTGGCAGTGCTTGGGGAACCATACAGGCTGCCGGGGACTGAACCAGGTTGGCTCCACGCAAGGCAAGAGTCCTTCCTGCTGCACTCCCTCTCCAGCCCCTGTGAGCTATTCTTCCATGCCTCAGCCCTGCGGGGGAAAGCAGAGCCCCTGAGAGGGATACAGGAGGGTCAGAAGGGTTGGGAGCCACAGCACAGCAGGACTCAGCTCTGGATGGAGAGGAAGGGTCATGGCCAGGAGGGGCGAAACTGAAAAGTGGTGAGGAATGAGGCAGGCTGGTGCCCACCTCCCACCCCTGAGGGGGCCGGTCACGCCACAGCCGAGCCTCAGTTTCCTCCTCTGGCTGGGGTACTGCTGTGCGCGGGCTCTGAGTCAGGCTCACCGCTGTCTTGTCAGCATTTGGACAGTGCCTGGCAGACAGCCGGAGCCTGGTGTCTGCAGAGGGTCTGGGACGAGGCTCCATGGCAAGGCCGGACATTCGACCCATGGCACTGCCCCACGTGTTCAGCCGGGCAGCCCCGCCACCACAGTCTCGAGTGTGAGACTCCTGGTGAGCACTAGAACCCAGTATGTGGGACCCCGGGACCCCAGTCACAGTAACAACAGTGGAAGGGAAAGAAGCAGGGAGGAAGTGAGAAAACACATCGAAGAAATGAGAAAACATATTCATCAGGCTCACTTTGGGTGAGCACATTGGGGGCCCGTGATGAAAGGCTGCCCCCAACTCTGACCCCAGTCTGGGGCCTCCCCCAACCGTGGCCCAGGCACCCCAGAGGCATCTCTGCCTGTTCCCCTCCTCCCAGAGCTTAGCTGGCAGTGCTGGCATGCTATGCCAGGCCTAATGTCAGAGTGCCCTGGGTGCTGCAGCCAGCCCAGTGCTAGGCAGAGGCTCTGCAGGGCAGGAAGTGATGTCAGAGAAACCCCAGGACCTCACTCTGGTCCCTTCCCTCCAGCCCTTAGTCCTCTGTGCCTCTCAGCTCAGCGGCCCCTACCCTGGACACAGCTGGCCTCGGGCAGAGACCAGGCTAGCATTGCCATGGCCACTGCTGCCAATCTCTGGACAGTCCCACGCCCCCTCCCCCTTCCCCCACCCCAGCCCCTGCAAATCAGGGAGGCTTTCCCAGAGGCTTCTTTGGGGGCTTCTTGGCAGCTTGAGCAGCTGGGAGCAGCACCCCAGTCCAAAGCCGCCAGCAAAGACAGCCGCTTCCTGCTGTCCCTCAGCCAGGAAGGCGGTATGGCCTGCAGCAAGGATGGGCAGCCAAAGGCCAAGGCTACTAAAGGCACACAGCCCCATCCCCCAGGCCCTACCTGCACTCGCAGCTGGCATGCTGGCAGAAGGTCAGCTCCACGTACGACGGCTGCTCCCCGGGCCGGAACCTCAGGAGCTGAGGAGATAAAGACAGCCGCCGGGCTTGGTCAGGATAGTTCTGGAACCTTCTCCTGGTTCTTGCCCCAGCTCCAGGGGGATGGATTCTGGTCTCTCTGCTCCGGGCACCCACTGTACGTGGAGCTGAGGGGCTCAAGGACCCGGGTTCCCATCTTGGCTGCTCTCGGCCTGCAGTGTCCGGACAGCTCGGCTCGGGATCATGAGCTGGTGATCTGGGTGCGGGAACTGGGGTGGAGTGACTGCACCATGCTCCGGATGGTGCCAGTGTTACTGCAAGCACTCTGTGAACACTGAGACCACAATGTGTGTATGTGTGTGTGTGTGTGCGCACGCATGGTGTGTGTGTGTGTGTGTGTGTGTGTGTGTGCATGGGGTATGTGCACATAGGGTGTGTGTGTGCACATGGTGTGTGTGTGCCTGCACATGGGGAGTGTGCTACACAAAGTGTGTACGTGTACAGCATAAGGGAGTGTGCATGGTGTGTGTGCGCATGCGTGGGTGGGTGTGTGCGTGTGCATGGAATGTTTGTGTGCGCATGGTGTGTGCTTGCCTGCACATGAGGGGTGTGTGCTACACAGGGTGTGTATGTGTATGCATGGGATGTGTGTGTGTGCATGCATGCCGTGTGTGTGGGTGTGGGTTCATGAACACGGGGGGTTCATGCATGGAAGGTGCGTGTGTGTGTGTGTGTGTGTGTGTGTGTATGTGTGTTTGAAGCTCACAGACTCAGCACTGACTCCTTCCAATCTGGACAGCAACTTCTGAGCAGATTTCTTTTTTTTTATGGGGAGTGTCACAGCCTCAGGAAGCTTAGGGAGGGGCACCTCAGTGACAGTCTGTCAGCTGGGCCAGAAGGCTCAATGCTTGGCCCACTGCAGTGGGATAGGGCCAGTGGGCGCGGGAGCCTCCAGGCCTACCCACCCCTGGTGCTCAGGGGCCAATGCAGCCCCAGGGAGCTGGAACTTGGGTTCCTGGGTGGGGGCGGCTGCCTGTGGGGCGCCTACCTGCATGGTGACGTTGCTCTTGGTCACGGGCACGCAGCTCAGGCCCTCGTCCCCGCAGCAGCCGGAGCAGCGCAGCAGGGGCACACAGGACGGGCTGAAGATGTACTCCACCTCGCTGGGGAACTCCGACGTCACGTCCACCAGCTTCTCCAGGGCCTGGCAGTAGCTGCGGCTCCACACTTCTTGGAAGGGCACCACTGCAGGGAGTCCAGACAGAGGGTCAGGCCAGGCGGGCCCTGCTCCTCGGAGCTCAGGAACCCAACTCTCCTGGGCACCACTGGGCCTTCCGGGCTCGGCCCACACCACCTCCTGCAGGAAGCTCTCAGAGCCTCCTCCAAGAAGCCCTCAGCCTCAGCTTCCACCTCCTGATGGGACCCCCTCCCGGAGGCTGGGAGAACTTTCTCATTGTCCTGCTGGCAGCCTGGGCACCTCCGTGTGCCTCTGTGCCCCGGGAGCTTTAAGGAGAGGGCGCTGGCAGCTGCCCACGCCTGACCTGGCGTTTCCTCAGTGCTGGGGAAACAATCAGCTCTGCAAGAATGGCTCGCTGTGGCGCAGGGAGGGTTCGCCTTCCCCTTAGCCCCAATTTCCTGCCCGCATGGAGGCCAGCACTATGTCCCCCCCCCCACACACACACACATACACTCTCCCTTCCAGCCTGGCCCTGAGCTGAGCCCGCAGCACCCAGCCTTGGGCTCCTGACTGCAGTGCTCCAGGCTGGTCACAGCCCCTTTCCTTCTTTCAGACCCAGTGAAGCTGCCCACCCACTTCTCGAGGGAGGTCCACCGCCCTCCTCCCTCCTCGCTCTGCAGGCTCCCATAGGGGGACCAGACATCCCCCCTAACCTGGCCCCTGGGGGCCTGGCTTATCTGTCCCCTTGGTTCTTATCTCCTTTATAGCCCTCAGAGTCTCCAGAGCACAGGCCCTAAGCCTGGGTAAACAAAGGCTAAGTGATTACTGATTGATTGGAGGGAGTTCGGGAGGATTTTCTGGACGCCCCAACATCCTGGTGACCAGGAAAGGGATCTGGGGGGCCCGGCCCCCCTAGCAGAGGCCCACAGAAAGTGAGGAGCCCAAGACAGGAAACCTGGTTTCCACTGCTGACTGGCGCTGGCTGTGTGGCCTTGGGGAGGTCACTTAACCTTTCTGGGCGTATCAGTTTCCTGGCCGGGGACAAAGAAGGCAGCTGGAATCGATGGTTGCTAAGGCCTCTCCCGGCTCGGCTCCGACCTCCAGGCTGGGCTTCTGTGCCTGCAACCTGGCCCAGCCTTGAGGCCGTGGGCAGAGCACCAGTCCTGGCCTGGGTCACCCTGCCCTCCATCTGACCATCACCCTCCACTGCTGGGGAAGGATTGGGTCGGGGTGTGGGGGCAGGCCGGGTCAGCTGGGAGCCACCCTCTCCCCACAGCCCCCCACTTCCTTCTGGGGACCTTCTGAGAAGGCAGAAGGGGGACAAAGTCCGTTTCCAGAGAGCCTGCGAGGGCGAGTCTCTCGGTAATCGCAGAGGAAAAATAAACTTCAGCCCGGGCGGGAGCTGATGGAAAACACCCCGAGAGCGCCTGTGCACTCAGAGAGGGCCGGTGGCCGGCTGCTGGCCCCCCCCACCCCATCCGACCTCTCTAGGCCCCTGCACCCACATCGGGCAGGGAACCCGCTGGCCCTAGGGACCCCTAAGCCGCCTTCGCAGCGACGGTGGTGGGAGAAGGCACCTCCCTAGGTCCACAAGCTCCTGTCCCCCTACATCCTTCTGAGCGCCCCAAACTCTGAGCTGGGCGCTGGACAAGCAGAAAGCCCACAGGAGAAGCAGCCGGCAGCCCGCAAGTGAGGGGGGCGAGGCCTCTCCTAGACCCCTGGGGGTGGGGGTGTAGGGGCCAGGGGCGACCCCCGTGGGCCGGCGCAGCTGAACCTCGGCGGCAGAAGGGGCTCCGTGGCCCGTCCCGGCCGCACTGTGCAGGCAGGACCTGGCGCTGGAGCCGGTCGCTGTCTTCCCTCCGGCCACGGGAGCAGGCCGGGAGCCGGCCCGGAGGAGGCGCGCGCGCCCCACGCTCTACCTGGCCGCGGGAAAGAGGCACCGAGGGCTGGAGGAGAGCGACCTCGCCGCGGGCCCCGCCTGGGTGTGCGGGAGAAACAAAGGGGGCTGGGAGAGGGGGCGGAGGGAGGTCGGCCGTGACCACTCCCAGATGTGGGCCTGGCCCGCAGGAAGAGCCCCGCTCGCTCAGCCGCTCCACACTGCACTTCCTCTGGCCGCGGACCTGCTCCCAGGCAGCGGCGCGGCGGGGAGGAGACGGGGTGGGGGCGGGGGGCGTCAGGCGCCAGGCCAGCGCTGGGCGGTCGGCGAGGGCCACGAGGGGCTCTCGGCTCTTGCCCGGGCTTCCCGGCGGCCGCCAGCTGCTAACTAGCCACCCAGGACGGCGAGGCAGGGCCGAGAAGGGAAATGTTTAATCCGGAGGGGAAGCTGCCGCCGGGGAGGGCGCGCGGAGTTGGGCAGAGCCGCTGGCCACCCGCCCGAGCCCGGCAGGTGTCCTGTGCGCAGTCCCCGGGAGGGCACTCAGCCAGCCCGCAGCTAGCGCGGGACACCCTTGCCCGGGCCTGCTCAGCCGGCCCCGAGCCCTGGCCGCGAGTGCCAGGCAGCCCCGGCTCCCCTCTCCCCAGGTTCCGCGGCTCCCGGGACCCCCAAGGGCCTCTCCGAGGAGCCTCGGGTTCCTCAGTGTCTCCAGGGGGCTGTGTCTCTCTGCCTTCCTAAACCGCAGCCTGGCCTGGGCTGAGGGTTGAGTTCCAGTAAGTGCCTGACAGTCTGTCCAGGACCAGCCGCCGAGGCTGGAGCGAGCCGGCGCCGCTGTGCAGCGGCTTTGACCACTGAACTCCGCCGGGTGCTGGGTGTAAACGTGCTTCCCGTACAGACTCCTGCGACCTTGGGGGGGCTGGAGCTGAGCTGAGCTGCTGCTTTCCAAGGCCCCCTTCCCGGCCCCCTTCAGCTCCCGTCTCTGCAGACTCAGCCCGGTCCCCGCAGAGAAACGCCACCCTCTCAGAAAACATCCTCAAATACCATTCGGTCCTATTTCACAGATGAGAAAACCGAGGCTCAGCCTTCTTTGGGAACTGGTGTGTGTGAAGGGCGCTAAAAAGCATCGGTCCCGCCCCCACCTCCCATCCCCCATCCTTCCTCCAGTGCCCCGGGGCCTGGGACGCTGCCACAGGGAGCACCGAGGCCCAGGAGAGGCTGGCTACCAGGCCGGCCAGCTGGTGGGCGGCCGGCGGCAGCTGCAGGGTGTTCCCGGCCCGCGAGGCTGCCCCGCGCGTGCGCACGCAGGTCCCCACACGCCCTCTCCCACGGCCGTGGAAGCGTCAGCGGTGCTGTGTGGCCTGCCGGCACGTCTTAGGGGCGGCGTGCAGGGAGGGGCGAGGGACCTGGCACGAGCCTCCTGCCCTCGGCACGCATGTCTCTGTGGCAAAAGTCTCACCCTTTGAAGATTCCCCCCGCGCGCAGGGGCGGGTGGGGAGCCAGCCGTGGGGCTGGGAGGGCGCGACTCATGGTGGGTCTGTTTGTAATCAATGGAAGGCCTGGTCAGATCCCCGCGGCTCCGCCAGGGCTGGGCCGTTGGAAGGTCCCCTCGGCCCTCCCTCCGCTTCTTTGACTGCCTGCCCACGACAGCCAGCTCCCAGACCCCTGGCCTGGTCCCTGGCACTCACTGTCCACCCAGCCCCCCCACCCCCCACCCCCGGCCCAGATCACATCTGGCCCCTGACCTCATGCTAGGAAAGGAACCTCAGCCAATGGCAAAAGCCCTGCTGTGCCGGGCCCCACCTCCGCTCAGGGTATGCTGGGCGACACCCTCACAGGGACACACCTCTCGAGGTCCCGCCACGCCACGCTGCCGGCACCTTTCTGGCTCTGCCGACGGGAGCCTGACTTCTCAACAGTTCTACCCACCCTTCACGCCCACCCTCCCGGTCTGCCGCAGGGGTGGGAGGCAGGAGAGGGCTGAGTGGACGCACACAGCCCCGGCCCAGCTAGCTTACCTTCCACCTCGGACGAGCTATTCCCAGCAGACAAGGTCCACACCTGTGGACAGAAGGGGCCGAGATGAGGGGACCACCTGCGGCCCACTCTGGGGCCCAGCGTGTTGGCACCCGATACACACAGTCCCGCCGAGGTGCTTCCCGCTGAGATACACTCCCTCTGCCTGCACTGGGGGGGGGGGGCGCCCCTTTCCAGGTGCAATGAAGCACTCGCTGGGTGCGTTTCAGGGGTGCCGCCCCTCTCCCTGGCCTCCCTGTCTTCTTTATGGGAGAGGGAGGCTAGAGGTTTCGGAAACCCCTTGCCTCCACGGTGTTGCAGAGATCCTGCTCTCCTGCCGGGTCCCCCTTCTCTGCAGCCCCCGGGCCAGCCTGCTGAGCTCGGCGCAGCAGCCTGCCTTGGCCGGGTGCCAAAGCCCGGGTGAGCCCATCAGCTGGTGGGAGTGGAGGGGCTGGCGCCCGTGGCGCCATGAGCCGGTGCTGCGGGGTAAAGTTACACCTCTGGCCAGCCCCGTGGCAGCCGGGGCGGAGGGTGGGTTTCTTCAGCCCCTCTGGGACTGGGACGGAGGGCTTCAGGGGCACCGGGACAGCGTGGGGAAAAGGGCGCTCATTGGCTTTGTCAGGGTTTCACTGCCCGTGTTGGCTCTGGGCCAGACTCACCCAGCTCCTGGGAAAAGGGCTGTGATCACTTCCCCAGGCCCCGCGCTAAGGCGCCGCAGCTGCCCACCGGGAAAAGACGGCTCAGCAGGACCTGGTGGTCCTGCCCCCCACAGCGGGCCCAGGAGTCCCGCCGGGGGCAGGGAGCAGCCGCCCCAACAGTGGCCCTCCAACCTGCCTCCTGTCCACCGGGCTAGATCAGAGGTCCTGGTGGGTGTCTGCCTGGTCACGAGACCCCCCCACCCCCCAGCGCTGACTGTCCACAAGGCCAGGGACCAGCCTGGGATTAGTGGAGGGATGCTTTCAGCAAAGCCACCAGGGCTCCAGGGGCCAGACAGGAAACCTCCCTCCTTTCCCTGTGGCCTCCCTGCCCCCACCCACACAGACCCCGAGCTGGAGTCTGGGGCAGCCGGTCTGAGATCTGTCCCCTCCCAGAGGACCCGTCCAGCCTGGCCCTCGGGAAAGCGTGCAGACATCCTCAGAAGTCTGGCTTCGGGAGCCCCGCTGCGAGGAGGTCTGGCGGCGGCAAAATCAGGGGAGCCAGGGTGTGGACTGGGAGGGGGGCTTGGGATGGGTTGGGGGGGTGGGGGGCTCTTACCTGTTGGGGCAGCACCAGCCCAGCCAGAAGCTGCAGAAGGCAAGTGAAGAACCTCATGGCAAGCATCTTCTTAGACGTCGCAAACCAGGGGGCTCCAAGGGGCAACCACCATGCTCGTCCTCCTGGGGGAGCCCCTGGCATCGGAGAAGCGGAGCGGGATGGGGCACGGAGGCGCGGCTCACTGCTGTCCCGGGCACCCCTCGGGGGGCTGGCGCATCCCTGGGAAGCCGCGGGGAGAGGGAGGCGCCCGCAGGTAAGGCTGCGGCGGGCGGACGGCACGGAGCGCGGCAGGCGGCTGCTGGCGCAGGCTTGGTCAGGCCCCCAGTGCGACCCCGGGTCCTCTCGTGGCTGATCAGAGAAGATGCAGTTCCCTCTCCTCCGACAATAGCTCTCTGCTGGAACTGAAGCGGCTGGATCGAGACAGAATTTCAAGGGCCGGGAGGGCGGGGCTCCCGTCCGGACCCGCCCACCGCTTGGCGCGGCTCCAGGAGGCAGCGGCGGCCCGCGCGCTGCCCGGGCCGGGCAGGGGCGCACCCCGCGCAGACCCTCGGGCGCACCCAGGCACGCCCACCAGCGCTCCTCGCGCCCGGGCCACCCCCCACCCTCGGGAGTGGGGGGGGGGGTCCAGGCGCAGCGCGTCCCGGCCGGGGAACAGGAATAGGACGCAGAATCTGCGAGGCCCGACCCCTGTCCTAGGAGACCAGCCCGTTCTCCGGCCTTGAGGAGCTCCCCGCACGCCCCAGGAGCGAAGCCCAGGGTGATTGATCCCATTTCCGAGACGCCCAAACCGAGGTTCCCAGAGTGCCCCCTGCCAGCGCCTCTTGGACACGCTCGTGCGCGCTGGCTGCAACAGGGTGTGCGCGCCAATCAAGTCCAGGCACTCCAGGATGGTCTTGAGACCCCCCGAAGGCACACGGCAGGGACCCCCGCGCCCCCGGCCTGCATGATTTCCTCTCTCGGGCTTTTCCCCTCCTGCAGACCCCCCGCACGTGGCGATAGAGCGGCGCCGAGAGGAGCAGCATTTCCTCGAGCTCCCAGCAGGAGGCGCAGCGGGGGTCGCGAGTGTCCGCGCGCGCCGGGTGGAGGCGTGGGGGTCCGCCCGCAGAGCCGGGCCGCGCGGACCCTGTCTGCGCGTGCGCCCCGGCGGCTGCCCCCCGCGGAGCCTGGGTGCGGATCTGAGCTCTGGCGTCTGTGTGTCCCTAGAGGTGCCTTTGGAAGAAGGGTCGGGGCCTGCATGTCAGTGGCATTGTGCATTTGTGTGCCTGCCTGTGACTCTCTTCGGGTGACTGTGAGGACTGGCCTGCGTGTGGCGGGCCTCTCCCCCGGCACGGGGTTGCGGGAATGTCTTGGACACTCACCACGCCACCAACCCTCGGGGCTCCGCAGGATTCAGACCGTGGGTCGTGGGTCGGTGGGTGGCTGCGGGAGAGGCCTGGGAAGTGGCCCCTCCGTCTCACATTCCAGTTAGTAGCTGAGGGCAGCCCGCTGCTCACCCCCGTGACCTCTGCGTCCGCTGCCTGCCTGCCCACCCACATGGGCCTCCCAGAGCTGCCGCCTTCCTGCCTGGCCAGCCCCAAGCCCGGAGGTCCAGGAGCCAGGGACCAGCCACTGGCGGGCTAGGCGGGGGCTGTAAGGAACTTTCTGACGAGCTCCAACATGCCAGGACTTGGAGGGGGTGGGGGGTGGGGGCAGACAAACTCCTTCCTGGGCTCAAACTCACCAGTGGAAGGTAGTCTGGGCATCCCCGTGCCTGTGTTTGGGGGTATGTAGACGTGTGTGTCCAGTTCCTCTGTTTGCTCATGACATCTGCGTGTGTGTGCACACGTGTCTATGCGAGTCTTTCTTGGGGCCTCCTATGTGGACATTGATGCATGTTGTGCCTCAGAACCGCAGCGACATCTCCGGTTGGCTCTGTCTATTACGGAAGGCTCTGCACACTCCTGCATTGGGCATGATTGTCCATCACTGTCAGCGTGGGGGTGTGTGTGTCTTGCATGTGCATTGCTAGTCATTCTTTTTGTCTTTTTATGCACCATGCTTACATCCTGCTATGCTTCAGGCTGCTGGAGCTGGGAATATGGAGTGGACATTCTGCTGAAGTTTACCTTTATTCTTTTTGGGTGGGGGGATTTGGTGCGCTGGGTCACACCTGGCAGAGTTGAAGACAGGGAGGCCGTGCCTAGCAGTCCTCAGGGAAGCATGTGGTGCTGGGGATTGAGCCCAGGGTCTGGCATGCAAAGTATGAGCTCCAGCCCACTGAGCTCTGCCCATTCCATGAAGCTTATCTGTGTGTATGTGTGTGTGTGGGGGGCGTTTACAGATGACCAGGGAGGCCACTGCTCTTGTTCTGTGCGCCAACCGAATTCAGGCATTCCCTGCTGCTCCTGCAAGCCAGCCTCAGCCTTTCTGTACCCGTGCTGGGATAGCCTCCAAACCCGGCTGGGGAGGTCGAGATGAATGAACCAGTGGCAGAAACTAGTCGGGCTCCAGATTTACATGGTTAGATGGAAGTTTGTTCTTTGTTTTTGAGCCACACTCAGTAGTGCTCAGGGGCACCTCCCAGGTTGGTACTTGGTGGTCATTCCTGGCGGTGTTAAGTGAATCCTGCTGTGCCAGGGAGGGAACTCGGGCTTCGTGCGTGCAAAGCGTGAGCCCAGCCTGCTGAGCCATCACTATGGGCCCTGGGAGATTATTCTTGCTCATCAGTCGTCTGGGGCACGGGTGCTGGAGGCTCTTGCTTCTGAATTGGGTGCGACACCAGGCCTTACAAGTTCTTACCTGAGAACTTTAAATTCTTTTCTTTTCTTCTCAGAATCCAACTTCCTCTGTCTTAAGAGGGAATTGTAACTACTTACATAGATAAGACAGATAGCCCTGGGAACAGGAAGCGGTGACTGTTGAAACTGATTTCTAATTTGACTTCTGATGTTTATTGGAGATAAGTTACAGTAACAGAGTGGAAACCCTTGGCATTAAGAATTGTAGGCAGAAAATTAAAAATCCTGGGCTGAGGAGATAGTCCAGGAGCTAAGGCATCTGCCTTGCCTATGGCCCACCTGGGGTATTGGCATATGATGCCCTGAGCATTTCTGGGAGTGATCCCTGAGCACAGAACCAGTAGTCCCTGAGAATCACCCAACGTGGCCCAAGCTTCCTCCCTCCCCAAAATATATACGTAAAGAAGTACCGTCTGCCTCTGCCAAAGGAGAGGGATGAGGGATTGACCCGGGCCTGTGTGCATGCACACACACACACACACACACACACACACACACACACACACACACATACACACCCCACACCTGGCATCTTCTAGTTCAATTCTGGTACTGAAGAAACGACTCTGTCAGGGGCCTCAGCTCGGTGTGGTCACCACTGTCTGGTAGCCTCAGGGAGAGAGGCACTCTCCACAGGGCACCACACAGGGCTTGGGACATGCTATCTGTCAACCACTCCTACCCATCACACCAGGCCAAGTTTACAGAGTCCCACTTGAAATGTGGGAAAAAGGGAGGCCCCGGGACTGCTAGAGTGGCATCTGCCACCAGGGGTTCACAGCAAGCACCTCAGGGCACTTCCCAGAGAGCATTAGCTCTCCCTGCTGACAGGCCACAGACGGCTCCTTGCTGGAGCAGAGAGGAGGACAAAAGTCTAGATGAGGGAGCAGTCCCCATACCGCGGTGCGCTGCTGCTGACCCTGTCCCAGTTAGGACCTGACGGATAGACACGGCTTGAGGTCCCAGGAAGATTGTGGGGCCATGCCCGTCATCCCCCTAAGCGGCCCTGGGCTTTCACTTCCAGGCCAGACGGCCTGGCCAGCACCCTGCTTTCCTGCGCTTTTTTGCATTAGTCATCGCCTCTGCCTCAAGCGCCTGCCTCAACCCATCCCAGCTTTCTCCTGAGTCACTTTTCCGTTTCTTCCCTTCGTCGTTTGGACCCTCTGAACCCTTTCCCCACCAGCACCTTTCCTCTCCTCTCCTCCAGGATGACAACTCAGCCCCCACCTTGGTGGGGGGATGGGGGGGAGGGGAGGCAGTCCTCAGGGCCCTGTCCCTAAGCCCCAGGTCTGGGCTGGGCAGAGGTGGGCAAGAGGCAGAGTTGCCGATGATGGACCCTGAGAGGAGCATGGGCACCTCCCACTGACCAGCGAACCCAGGTCTCCGCCTCAAGCTCCTGGACTGGCCCCCTCAGCCCTCCTCCTGCTGCCTGGGCAGGGGTCTTCTGGGGCCCTCCCCCTGAACCCCTCTTGTTTCCATACTCCTCGTCTATGTGTGCTCCAACATGCAGGGGCCCTGCCCACCACATCTTGAACTGACCTTTGCCCTCCCTGGTCCTCAATCTTTCCATATCCCTGGCTTGTCTGTCTTGCCTTAGATAGAAAGATCTAGGGGGTGGGCACTTGGCTCACCATGTCCAGTGCCTTCATGGATGGTTCTAGAAGAGGCTAACCCTCAAGACACTCACTCCTCTCTCCCAAACCTGCACTTTCCTTACCCAAGTGTCCTTCATTCTCCAGAGGGGAGTCCCTGAGGACCCCCCCTCCCATGCTCAGCACAGTCTGCAGGGGTCTTGCTGCCAGGGCCCAGTGGGACAAACAACTTGTCATCATGGTGGGGTCAGACTGTTCCCCACAGCCCCGTCAGCACCCAGGGGACAAGCTAATGCCTCAAGCCAGAGACCAGCGCCCAGCAGGAGGCCTGACACAGAAGGGACTCACAGGGCGAATCCCCCCCTCACACCCCCTGCCCAGGACTCTGTGGCCCCCAGGATCGGCAGGAACAAGATGGTGTCCGCCACGAGGGCTGGGAACCAGGAACCAGGCCTTTGGGAGACGAGGCGTCACCAGAGGCTTGGAAACCTGTACTTTGGGAGCTTGGCAGCCGGGGCTGGGTTTTTCGTGTTTTCTGTAATTATTTCCCTTTTGTTCTCCCTTAGTATTTAGTAAAGCCCTTTGTGACCATGCCAGCTGGTCTCAGCTGTGCTGAGCGCAGCGACAAAGGGGTGCTCTGTGTGTGCCGGGCCCTCGGCCGTGATGCCGGGACCCGGCTTTGTGGTGGCAGCAGAGTCAAGGGCCACCAAGGGACGAGGGAGGCTCTGGGGCTCGGCCAGCACCCCACGTCCCTCCTGCCACCTCCTCCACGGTGTCTGTCTGGGGCTCCTCCCAAACAGGCGGGCCGAAGGGAGGCTAGTCACAGCCTCCAGGGACCAACATTTATTCAGGTCCCTGCTCTGGGCACCCTCTTGGGAAACCCAGACACGGGCACCTGCCACACCACAGCTCCCACAGGGGGCCGTAGGGGTCCAGCCCACCCCACAAGGGGCTACTCAGCCTCCGTCCAAGAATCGGGCTCCTGAGAGGGCCCCCGCACGGTGTCCCGTCCTACCTCCTGGGCTCAGGAC